TGTCCAACTGAATCTTTAAGTTCTAAAGTCAATCAAATTGCAAGTTCATGAACATTTGTTTGCCTCATTACAGATATTTAGCTGCAGAAAAGTACTCAGAAGCCTTGGATATTCTTCAATCTGGGGCATGCACCCAATTGAAACTTAAGCAGGTCAAAGCTAGTTGCATCTTTTCTGCGTATGTAATTACTGGATTGGATGTTTGTTTAGCATTTGTTGCACAGTAGATCGCTGTTTTAACATTTTTAATGACGTTATTTCTTGGGCCTTGAAATTTCAATTTCATTTCATTGAACCATACTTGAAGTCCACAACTCTGGAGAATCGGTGAAAGTGTAGATAGTATATGGTACTTCTGTGACTTGTTAATATATTATGTTTAAATATTAAGAAACATGGATATAGACATGGGACATGACATAGTGATAGAGAGTGATGTACCATATCCCAAACAATAAGACACTACACAAGATAACATTGAGGACAATATATACATTGGTAAGAAACCAAATTTCATTGATAATATGTAACAGGAAGGGGAAAGAAATAGCAACGGAGTTGCAAGAAATAATAGGACTAATTACCTAAAAAAAGGGAAAAGGATCTCAAGCCCTAGAGAGCTACAAAAACTAAGGATGGATCCTTGGTTTCTCAGCTGGTCGTTTTAATAAAAACTTTGAATATGAAAAGGAAAAAAAATTATCTGATGATGTAATATTCTTCCCCAAAAGTGTACCAAAATTTAGCATCTAGCATGGTATGTTGAAGTATAAAAACTGCTTAGTTATGTCCAAATCATCTGCTCTCATACCAGTTGTACTGCATATGTATCATGACTCTGTTCTGGGCGAACATTCGGGCTTTCTACGAACCTACAAGCAGTTGATAGGGGAGTTATATTGGCCTAGCACAAAAATTGACACTAAGAAGTATGTTGAAGAATGTTGTATCTGTCAAAGAACAAATCAGTGCCAGCATCTCCTATAGGACTATTGCAACCCCTACCAATTCCAAACATATGTTTGGAAAGATATAACCATGGACTTCGCAGAGGGGTTACAAAGGTCTTGCGGAATGCTACTATCTTTGTGGTAGTTCTTTTCAGCCAAGACAGTTGCTAGAACATTTGTGCATGAGATAGTAAGACTACATGGCTTCCCGTGCTTAGAGATAGGATTTTTATAAGCCACTTATGGTTAGAGCTATTATGGATGCAGGGTACCAAGCTTCAGCGAAGTACAGCTTACCATCATCAAATGGATGGGCAATCTGAGATTTCAAATGGATGGGCAATCTGAGATTGTAAATAGGTGTTTAGAGACCTACCTACGCTGTTTTTTGCAGTGAAACATTGAAGCAATGGGGATAGTGGTTATCTTGGACCAATGTTTTAAAAGGCTAAAGGCGGCCTTGAGTTGGTA